CCCTGCCTGCCTGGGAACCCTTAAGCTGTCTTCGTAGAGAAGGCCGCACTGGCATGACCAGGGAGCCCCTCCACCCCTCCGGGAGACCCTCCCTGAGCGCCCCAGGTGGCACTGGCCCCACGCAGGGTCTCAACGTCTGTCAGAGAGGTTCCCAGATCCAGAAAGGTCAGAGGGAAACGGTGTCAGGCCCCCAAAAAGGGAGCCCCGTGTGTTCAAGACCACCACCCTGGCTGGCACAAACTCGTTCCCAGGTGGGCCTCTGGGCCTGTGCCTCTGGGCCAGGCTCGGCCTAAGTCCACCAAGCCCCACCCGAGCCCTGCAGGCCTCCAGGGATGGGGGCTGGATGGGGTTGCCCCCCAGGCGGGAAGAGGCCCACCCAGTGAGGCATATTCCCAGTCTCCCGGGAGTTCAAGACCCCCCCACACCCTGCTTCCAAATACCAGTCGGGGGCCGCCCCCAGGACTCGAGGCCACCGGCAGGCACTCCCGTGTGCTCGGAGAGGCCAGGTCTGCTGGTGCCCGGGCCATGCAGACCGGCTCCGGGCTCAGGAAGGTGGCTGCTCCCGCAGCTCGGGGGCAGAGCCCAGTCCAGCCAGCCTTCACGGCCCTGCTGCCGCGGTTTCCCACTGCCTGGGCTGCTGTGAGGATCCAGCATGTCCACACCGAGACCGGGCTGGGAAAAGCAAGTGCCCGTCTCGGCACCTCTGCCCCCGACAGCGGCCCATAAACCAACCCCTGTTGGGTGGCCCAGATGGGGACATGGGGACCGCGTCTCCCAGCCTAGGGGGCCAGGAGCCCTGCCACAGGGACAGCAAAGGGACACCTCCGTAACCCGGCTGTCACGGGCCCTGCCCACCCTCTCGGCTCGCCCTGGAAGGTTTCCAGGCTGGGCTCCTACTCTTCGTCCTGGGGTTCAAGCCTCGCCTCAGCAAGGACAGTGGCCCTCGGAGAGACCCTGCGGCAGAGGGGCCTGAGCTGCCCCCGCACACTCTCCCGCCTCTCCGAGTGCCCCCCTGGCAGCACCAGCCTGGGTAGCCCCGTTCCCTCGCAGCCTGGACCTAGCAGACAGGAACCCTGAACCTTGTAACCCTGGCCTCCGCGTCACACCGCCGCCATCCGGACCCTCTCCCTCTTTCACCCCAGGTCCCCGGAGACAGATTCTGGCCACGACAGCTGCTGTCCCGGCCAGGGAAGTGGGCAGTGCTCGCGGGGCAGGTGTCCAGAATGGTCACCCACCCACTGTCGGCCGGCCGCTTTCTCTCCTGAAAATCTGAAGCCACTGACTGCCAAGTCCCTGTGTCACGTGGGCACCCACTGGAGGGACGGGCCCGCACATGTGCCCCATGACCCAGCAGCCACCGGGGCGGAGCAGGGAGCACCAAGGGGCCCTGGGCATGCTGTGTGGCCCTGGGCAGCCACTGTCCCTCTCTGGGCCTCGGCATCCTAGGGGAAGAACGGGGGTGGGGTGGGGGAGGAGACAATGGGGCTGCCCAGAATACTCCCCTCCCCACCCCTAGCCAGGCCCTGCTGTCAGGAGTCCCTGGGGCCCGGGCTCAGGAGATAAACAAGCAGGAAAGTGGGTCCCCTGAGCCCCTGGCTGGGCTCCCGGCGGGATGGGGGAGCCCGGCCTTTGTCTGGGTTTCCAGAGCAGAGGACACTGTGTGGCCTGGGGAGGGATGCGCTCCAGCAGCCCAGGGTGTGGCGGTCACAGAGAATCCCTGGAGGAAAGTTGCCGCTTAGGAAACACACCCAGCGGGAAGGGCCTGGCCGCCGAGGCCATGGGACGGGGCAGGGGCCTGCAGGCCCCGGGAGAGGGGTGCCACGTGAACGCGCCCCCCGCCCAGGCCCACCTGTGCGCTGGCGCGCGGGCCTGCGTGCCCAGGGAGTGAGGCG